GAATATTACATGTTAATAACTTGATTGGAATTATAACCTTGAATTGACAGTTTGATACTTTGAAAATTTTGAGCCAGCCCTACCCCCAAGGGCTGGAGGTGCTAGTTTCAAATCCTTTTTAGTCTGAAATCTGTATGCTAGATATTGAGTAAGGTGGTTTTATTGTTTTTTGTCACTTTGAATAATATTTCTGTTCATGTTAAAAACAAAATCAACTCTCTGTATAAATATATCAGGTGACCGTTAAGGCCCATGGGCCTCTTGTTATTTCTGATGTCTAGGAGAGAACATGTTTTCATTTTCTTGCCTTATATTTTGTCTAGTTTATGTCAGGTGAGCTCATAGTACTTGTTTCACCCCTGTGACAAAACTGGCCAACTACATGTGATTAACTCATTCACCCCTGAAGACACATTTGAACCCTTCCCATTCAAAGGTTGGAATAGCTCATTATGAAATTTCAGGGGTGAATGAGTTAAAAGGTAAAAACATGTGATTGATATTGTTTTTCCAATGTATGTGTCAATTACCATGTTTTCATCTGTTGTCCATAAACAGGTGACATTTTCCATTTCTTCTCAACAATCATAAGGGGCTAGGATCATATTCTTTCATCCTGTTGATTTTCGGTCAAGGACTCTGAAACCCAAACTTGTTAGTTATTTGTTTTCCATACACTTAAGTTTCTTCCGAAAAATTTGATGCTAGCAGAGTGATAACAATTATTGTTATATGTCTGCAAAATTTCACACCATCATCGATCTCTGGTGACCAAGGTCATACGTTCAAGGTCACAGCTACACACTTTTTACATGATGATAGGAAAACTGGACATTCAAGAGTTTCTACAGGTTTTTGACAAAAGTTTTCTACCAGCATTAAAATTCAGGCAATTAATCTTCACATCAATCTCTGGTGACCAGTTGAATGTCAAGGTCTTATGTTCAAGGTCAATGCAGTAATATGATATTTCATTCTTGCATACTAGAATGGGTCTGGATCGCTTGCATGTGCAGACAGGCGGGGGAATTATAGTGACCTTTCTGGGTCACGCTATTTATTGTTTGTGACGTCATTTTATGACATTTCGGGGTTTGAATAACATTTGAATAACATTATCCATTCCTCCCATCAGGGATGGATTCTATTATTATGATGATGGTAAACAGGTCTTTGTATTTGGTCCTCTTTTGTTTGTGGGCCCCTTGATCCATTCCCCCATAGTACAGTCAGATCCAGGATCACTACCTGCTTTGTTGCCGGTGACCAGATGACAATATCTGGACGCTGGAAGAAGTCACCCAACTCTGCTGGGAAAAAAGATCCTTCTAGGCCGCAGTGGCTGAGTGGTTTAGATGTCTGGCCGTCTACGATCACTAGCCCCCACTACTGGGTCGCAGGTTTGAGTCCTACATGTACATGGGAAAGTCGCCAGGTACTGGCCACAGATTGGTGGTTTTTCTCCAGGTATTCTGACTTTCCTCAAACCAAAAACTTCCTCAAAATTTCCTTAAATGCACAACAAAACACTAACCAACACAGAATTGACATGTTTTCAACTTATCACATTTTACAATTTTGTCCGAGGCCCAATGCTATAATGCTGCTCCATTCCTTGATGGAAATATAAAAAAGACGTTTATTCTTTCTCGACATATTCATATTTATTACAATGAAAACAAGTAGACGTAACAATAAACAACAACGTTACATAATACAATCAAATACACCATGTATACAGGTACTCTTATAATAGAATAGAGGATTTTTTTAACATTTTTTTTCTTTTTCTTAAACTTGATATGTTGTATTTTATTTTCATTCATTTATATACATGGCATTTTATACCCAGAATACAGATAAACCGTGTGCAACATTTGTATTTTGTGCTTTCTTTCTAACAAGAAATTTAAAAATCAGTAAAATTTTGAATATTTTGAGTTCGAATTAAAAATTAATGAATAAAGATCTAGAAAACAAAGAGAAGAAGCTTTTCATGTTCTTAACAACATTTATACCAACAACATACAGCATCACTAATCAAACATTGCTGTATCTCTTTCCATACTTTGCTGTAATGTAATTTCATAAATATATATGTATTTATGTACACATGATGATCTTAATAGTAAAGTTGTAATACATGTAGTTGCTAATGTTTCAACCTGATGAGGTGGTTTTAACTCATTCACCCCTGAAGACACATTTGAACTCCTCCAATTTAAAGGTTGGAAAAGTTCATTATGAAGTTTCAGGGTTGCTGATAAATATGAGAACAATGATAAATAACTGGAACACGAGGATGTATCTGAATTTCAGAATGTAGACCCGTGGTCGCATACAACAGATTCCATTTGTAAAAATCTAAAAATCTTGACCTTTAACTTCGGTTAGTCAGTACCAACACCTTGGAGCATTAGTTTAACAAGAAGTAAATGTACAGTAATTAAATAAGAGAGCAATATTTAATTAAAACAGCAAGTTATATCTACAAAAAATTAAAATACAGTTCAAGGTGCATCCAGAATTTTTTACTAATTCATTTACTTGGACTGGATAAAGTAGAATCAACTATTTGAATTGGTTTTAAGAAATAATTGATTTGTGTTATGATCATTTAGAGGAAATGTTTTGTTAACAAGGTTACTCTGTATCTTTACAATTCTGATCACCAAATGCTGGTAACAGTTATCTTTTCTTTAAGTACTTGCCTTTTTCTAAATATGCAGGACTTGAGCAGAATCATCAAAATAAAGCACTTTAACTATGCCAGGAATAGATAAAAGGAATTCTTAACTGACCACAGAACATTGACCTTTTAAAATACATGAAATATTTCATATAAGAATATGGAAGTGAACATATATGAACATGTCCTACTTTAACCTATTGTACATAATATGTTGTTATAAAATGTTAAAATAAATCTTTGTTTTTCAAACAATTAAAAATTTACAAGAATTCCCGCACACACAATGCTGAATACGTTCTTACAAAATGTACACTCCTACCCTGATACATTACGATACTAAATACGCCCTCATAGTGGGCTCATACAATACTTTACCAAGTCTTACCCAAAACTAAATACATTCTCACAATGACGAATTACACCTTCACTAAATGAACACATAATGCAACAGAAAATTACCTTTAAGAATAATCTCTGTCATTTTACTGCACTTCGTTCATATTTAACAATTACATGAGACGATGCATCCAGCATTTATAGTACAATATGGGGAGGGAAATACAGCAGTACACGTTAAAAAAATGATTTATAACATACATTCCACTTGATGGCGTGTGTCTTTTGTCATAGAAATTGTTTTTTGAAGTAAAATGTTGATATTTGATAGAAGGGGGGAGGGGGGGGGGGGCTTTCATAGTTTTGTTTCAAGTTTTGAATTGCAAGTTTTATTCTACATAAAAAAAATGTGTATAATATTATAAAACAATGTTTCATAATAATGTGAATGGCTATGATATAGTTAAATCTGATTGCACTCTTTACTTTCAGTATTAAAAAATCATGTGCTTTGTTGGGGAATTAAACTAATGTGACATGATATTAAAAGGAATTCATGTTAAATCACATGACACAAAGAAAACTCAATTCCATAAAAAAATAGAAAAAGAAAAAAAAATGTCCAAGGAAAATATGATATAAACAGAAATGTGACATTAAGCAGTGTTACATTAAGTGAAATATACAGGAATATAGTTTTTAGAGAGATAGCAGTTATGATCTGAAGCTGCAGCAATATTCACACAGGAGGACATCATATTTGTTTGGAGAACATGATCAAGATGTTTTCATGAAGCTTTACAGCTTAAGGTAATAATGACTTGCATGAAGGTTAAACACTGACAGAATTACACATTGTCATTTGCTCTATTGCACTAATAGAAACAACAGCTTGACTTCTGTATCACCTTGGGAACAATTATTAGGCGTTCAAAAGAAGAGATGACCAGACAACATCAAAAAGGAAGTAGCCGCAATTTTAACCACGTTTCCATGTTTCAGCCGACTAGCTGGGCAGTCACCAGTGCAAGCTACCAATTTCAAAAAAATCCTTAGTACAAAAAAGCGGTACCTTGCCTAGCAACAAGCAAGGGAACCACTTTTTTGTACCTGAGTATGTTTTGAAATTTGTATGTTGTTCTGATGGCCAGACCAGTAAATTCCATTGAGGAATCAATCAACTGGGGTATACTGAATTTTACAGAACATACCACTAGCGGACCTTGGATCTCATTCCCCGTTGTATTAATTATCAATTATTATGAAAATGATATTTGAATAACCAAGGTCATACTCATACAATATTTTCAGATTTCATAAATACTTTCATCTAGTACATTTTGTATAGAACTGATTTAGCATTATTTCTATAGCCTTACTGGTATAACATTTTGGACGGACACGGTTGAAGACATGTAAATAAACTTGTCCACTGTTCATGTATAGTGAACAAATACATGTGTTGATTCCGATCATCTCTATATTAATTCATGTTATTAAACTCAAACTAACACAGGAACTTGCTATCCTATTTGTGTGTTATTAAACTCAAACTAACACAGGAACTTCTTGTCCTTTTTGTGTGTTATTAAACTCAAACTAACACAGGAACTTGCTGTCCTCTTTGTGTGTTATTAAACTCAAACTAACACATGAACTTGCTGTCCTATTTGTGTTGTTGTTTCCATTTTGGATATAAAAAAAAATTAGTCCAAGTATTGCACAATACATGTAAAACACATCAACTGATGCGCAATTCCAAGAACCAATTATATATTTAGCAAATCAGCAAATAAAATAATTGAAGTGACATAAAGAAGATATTTTGAGTGAAGAGGTCACACTTTCCTCTGAATGTACTACAGAATGCTTCACAGCTTCGCTATTCCTGATAAGAACTTCCTGTTTTAATTACCCTGAGAGGTTATTTTTAATTGTTCTGAGATCAAACAACATCCTGCATGATTCTTGAGCGACAGTAATACCTTAACTTACACTTCTGTTTTGATATCTACCGCTATGCTTGGGCAAAAATGTGTTTCCTTACATTTATGGTATAACATAATCAACATATCTACATATATTACTGTATAACATGGAAACGAATTTGAATGATACACGTGTCCACTGTTTGTTAATATAGGATATCTACGAAAGTTTGTACCATGAAACAATCTAAATAGCTTCAAACCACGAAGGAAAATACCCACAAATATTTTGTGCTATACAGTATGGTGGATTTTTTTATTTGCAATTCAAAAATGGTTGGAAAAAATGACTCATAAATGCCTATTGACTTTTGTTACAAACAGAAGCTTTTGTGCTCCTCATGATGGAGTATTAATAACTGCACTGAAATACAATCCTAAAATATTTCTGATGTACTCAATACCAATAGTCATGTACTGTAATTCAATCTTCACTGCTTTACCATGGTAACAGGGGTCGGTTTCACCAATATTAATGCTTCAACCAAAATAAATTATCATAATCACAAGTGAAAGGCAAAATTAAGACCGAGTGAATACAGAATTTACCGGTAAATGGCAAAAGATTGACTGGGTAAAATTTTCCACATAAACTGAAGTCCCAGGTAAATTCCCTAAAGCTTAAGGTCATATACAGTAAGTATAAGATGTTACCATAGCAACCTACATAACTCACTCATCAGGGCAAGACTTTGACATTGCAATTCCATGCTTACATGTGAGAAATCATGGGCATGGAACTATCCTATGCATCATGATATACAGTAACACAATACTCCAGTCTTTATATGAGCAATAAATATAAAACAAGGGAAACCCATTGGCAATGCCGGCATTGGACTACATTGGGCTTGGGTGAAAGTTTTGAGTCTATAGTATATCGTTGTGTTAGCATCAGCAACATTTTCAAAGTGCCATTTTCACGATACCTCGGTTAGGTGATGTGAAAAATGAGACAGACACAATGAAATTACAACTTTACTTAGGAAACTTTTTCCAAAGGACCATAACGTATATTTTTACAGAGATCTATCTACTGAGCTAAAAATAAATTCCCTCCGGACATGTTATTAACAATGACTAGAGCGTAACCACTGTGACATTATATACTGTACATCATACAAAGTAAATGGTCTCGCGACCAGGAATGTCGGGGAAACACTGGGGAAAGTCCTAAAATGGATAACAAAACACTGCGGACATGTCCTTTGTAATCATAGTCTACTGTATGTTTGTATTGATGGGGAATCCACTATCAGTTACATGATCTTTGATCGCTTTGAGGATATTGGCTTGACAATGGAAGGTGGAAGTTGTTTCATCGAGTCTGTACTCCAATACTGTTGTCGTAGGAGAGCTTTATTCCGGGGTTGAGATCACTGAAGTATGGATGCTGCATCCCTTCCTCTGCTGAGATCCTCACTGGAGGGTTACACACCAACAATCTCTGGCAAACAAAACAACACATACTCCTCAAATTTAGATTGTTTAAGGGCTAATTATTCAGTACATAAATAACTGTAAAATGTGTTTTCTGTCACTCTCGATACTGTAAAATTCCCCACCCATATTTATTCCAGATTTTGTTTTTAAATTCTCTCCCCTTCATTATCACAGTAGCTTAGGCCCCTTTTACATAAACCCGTTTGTCTGTTTTTAAATGTTATGTTTTCGGGTATAAATCTTGGTGGACCTTTAAATGTTTATGCAGGCCTTGCAAGGCTTTGTCAAGGCCCGCCTGAAAACAGCATCAGATTACTAGGTCGGACCTGATTTCATAAACGAACAGCTCTGGGTCAACTGGTTCAACTGGTTAGATCCCGATAAACAAATGTGGCCCTAGTAACATCATATAAATTGTCCCCGTTTATGTCTCCTTGTGAGAATTCTACCATTATTAATCTTCAGTTAGTTTATATATTGTCTCTTTGTTAATCACCAAATACCTGTAAGAGTTCTCTCCCCCTTGAGTTCAGGTTCGGCACAACTTGTTGCCAAGTGGTATTCACATGATACAACTGGAAAGGCTGCAAAAGAATGAACACAAACATATTATTGAACTTTGAAAACCACAATGTTTTCACTGATATCTTATTCCAGTACATGTATAGTAAAACCTTGATATACTACCCCTTGTTTCATTTGTCACCTCGCCAACATATATATTTCAATGTCCCTTTATGTCGTTTTCTTCCAGAATTCCTTTTATACATTTCCCTCAATTTATCGCCAAACCCTTTATAATGCCAAAATTTTTCTGAACAAATGGTGGCAGTATAACAAGGTTTACTGTAGGTCATTTCTAATGACAGCATGACATAATAGAAATTAGAAGCCCTTTTCATTACAAGAGCTTGTTATTCCTTTTAACAAAATCATACTATAATTTTCTGTTTAAACAGGTCTCATAGAAAAAATAAAGAAAAGAATAGCCCTGTACTTACTTTGTAGTCTGGGAGTTGTGTAATGTTAGGCCATGTCTCCTCCGTGGGAGTTCCCAGAAGTCTAGAAGGTCAAGGTCAAACAACTAGAATGATTGAGTTGACAGGTCTTTTTCCTGTAGTATGTCAACATTCATATGCTAACTATATTTTTTATTCCTGTCTTACCTAACAGACTCATCTAATTAGCAGGAAAGATATATGGATGTTCAGTGCTAGAAGAAGCCATAGAGATGGATAGCCAGGCCACCACAGTGAACCCATAGGCCAAACCAGGAGGCATACTGCCTTAAGTATCATTTAAAATGTGTCGTTTGCTGTGAAAAAGCATAGTGGACCTAGGAAGTAATACCGTCTTTAACTGAACATTAGTAAGTCTAGCTACTAAGCCAGGAACTTAACTATTAACTCATTCACCCCTGAAGACACATTTGAACTCTTCCGATTCAAAGGTTGGAATAACTCATTAAAACATTTCAGGGGTGAAAGAGCTAATCTAGAAATTATTTCTAAAATAAAAAGTTTGAGTTACTCTTCTATTCAATTCTTGATTTTTAAAGATCTAAGCTGGAAAGGATACTTGAAAATCCTCTTTAGTTGGTCATCAACATCATTCCCTGGAAATAGTGGTCGTCCTGCATTTGCTAATTCTGAAAAAGGTGATTGTCAATTTATGTAATTCAAAACAGTTTTTTGAAGTTTCAATATTTTATTAATTAGCATATTGTGGATCCTCATTTGGTTATGTTTGTACATGTTAGTGGTTTGGGAAGATGAAAGCTGGTAATGGGAGTGTGACAGCTAGTAATGAGAGGATGAATTTGAAGTATAGTGAATATTGGTGAAATTACATAAGGGAGATACATATCAACAAGCTTTAGTCCCATTTCATAAATTCTATTGACAGGTAGTAATTTTTTCTGTAGATTTTCATTTTATTTCATAAACTTTAAACTGGTCTCTTTAAGTGTATGAGAAATCAACACTAATAGCAAGTACTGCAACTGTATGTTTTATAATAATCCACAAAACTCAAGCTCTGCAACAAATTTTTTTGACTTAAAGTATAAACTGTATTAGCCACACTTTAATAAATATCAATGTTAAGCTCAAATAATTAATATTAAGTTATGGTACGGGACTCGACAGAACGGGACGAGACGACACTATATGCCCTCCCATTTTATAGCGGGGGCATGAAAATTGTTGCTCATCTTCTGGCAGTTACAACATTAGAATGATACACACTACCCATTATTAACGATTTAGTTTTACAATGAAAACATATATAGTGACTGCTATGAGAATTACCCGCAAATATGCAGCCGGCTGACCACATGTCAATGGAGGTGGAGTACATCTTGGCTCCAAACAGGACATCTGGGGGGCGGTACCATAGTGTCACCACCTGTATGTATAGAATATACATATACACATTTCTTGTGTAACTGATATAAAACATGAATTTTAATGTAACTGATCAATCTACTTATACTCAAATGTACCATCACCTCAGACAGGCGTGTATATATGTAGCTGCATGCACACTGGTACGTAGGTGAATCCACCAAATTTTCAACAACAACAACAAAAACATTGATTGTGTCTTAAGCAATGATTATGTATACTGATATAAAATACTATTTAAGACATGACTTTATTGTAGAATGTCACAATTTGGCAATTACATAAATATACTTCTTGCGATGAATACACTTCAAGCCAGGGCTAGCTATTCCCCTGTTCAGAAACTAACCAAGTCCAACCAAGCTGTATAGCCATTGTAACCTCTATAATCTGACCACTGTGATGTATAGCCATTGTAACCTTTATAATCTTACCACTGTGATATTTAGCCATTATAACCTCTGTTATCTGACCACTGTGAAATTAAGCCATTGTAACCTCTATCATCTTACCACTGTGATATTTAGCCATTGTAACCTCTATAATCTGACCACTCTGATGTATAGCCATTGTTACCTCTATAATCTAACCACTTTGATATATAGCCATTGTAGCCTCTATAATCTAACCACTGTGATATATATAATCTGACCACTGTGTTGTATAGCCATTGTAATTTCTGTAATCTGACCACTGTGATGTTTAGCCATTGTAACCTCTCCACTGTGATATATAGCCCTTGTAACCTCTATAATCTGCCCACTGTGATATATAGCCATTGTAAACTCTGTAATAACACCACTGTCATCTATAGCCATTGTTACCACTATAATCTGACCACTGTGATGTATAGCCATTGTAATCTCTGTAATCTGACCACTGTGATATATAGCCATTGTAACCTCTATAATCTAACCACTGTGATATTTAGCCATTGTAACCTCTATAATCTGACCACTGTGATATATAGCCATTGTTACCTCTATAATCTAACCACTGTGATATATAGCCATTGTAACCTCTATAATCTAACCACTGTGATATATAGCCATTGTAACCTCTATAATCTGACCACTGTGATATATAGCCATTGTAACCTCTATAATCTAACCACTGTGATATTTAGCCATTGTAACCTCTATAATCTAACCACTGTGATATATAGTCTTTGTAACCTCTATAATCTGACCACTGTGATGTATAGCCATTGTTACCTCTATAATATAACCACTGTGATATTTAGCGATTGTAACCTCTATAATCCAACCACTGTGATATATAGCCAGTGTTACCTCTATAATCTAACCGCTGTGATATATAGTCTTTGTAACCTCTATAATCCAACCACTGTGATATATAGTCTTTGTAACCTCTACAATCTGACCACTGTGATATATAGTCTTTGTAACCTCTACAATCTGACCACTGTGATATATAGTCTTTGTAACCTCTACAATCTGACCACTGTGATATATAGCAATTGTAACCTCTATAATCTAACCACTGTGATATATAGCCATTGTATTCTCTGTAATAACACCACTGTGATGTATAGCCATTGTTACCACTATAATCTGACCACTGTGATGTATAGCCATTGTTACCTCTATAATCTAACCACAGTGATATATAGCCATTGTAACCCCTTTAATCTAACCACTGTGATATATAGCCATTGTATTCTCTGTAATAACACCACTGTGATGTATAACCATTGTTACCACTATAATCTGACCACTGTGATGTATAGCCATTGTTACCTCTATAATCTAACCACTGTGATATATACCCATTGTATCCTCTATAATCTAACCACTGTGATATATAGCAATTGTAACCTCTATAATCTGACCACTGTGATTTATAGCCATTGTTACCTCTATAATCTAACCACAGTGATATATAGCCATTGTAACCCCTTTAATCTAACCACTGTGATATATAGCCATTGTAACCTCTGTAATCTGGCCACTGTGATATATAGCATTTGTAACCTCTATAATCTGACCACTGTGATATATAGCCATTGTAACCTCTATAATCTGACCACTGTGTAATACCACTGTGATATATAGCCATTGTAACCTCTATAATCTGACCACTGTGTAATACCACTGTGATATATAGCCATTGTAACCTCTATAATCTAACCACTGTGATGTATAGCCATTGTAACCTCTATAATATGACCACTGTGATATTTAGCCATTGTAACCTCTATAATCTAACCACTGTGACGTATAGCCATTGTTACCTCTATAATCTGACCACTGTGATGTATAGCCATTGTAATCTCTGTAATCTGACCACTGTGATATATAGCCATTGTAACCTCTATAATCTAACCACTGTGATATATAGCCATTGTAACCTCTATAATCTGACCACTGTGATATATAGCCATTGTAACCTCTATAATAACACCACTGTGATATATAGCCATTGTAACCTCTATAGTCTGACCACTGTGATGTATAGCCATTGTTTCCTCTATAATCTGACCACTGTGATATATAGCCATTGTAACCTCTATAATCTGACCACTGTGATGTATAGCCATTGTAAACTCTATACTCTGACCACTGTGTAATACCACTGTGATATATAGCCATTGTAACCTCTATTATCTAACCACTGTTATATATAGCCATTGTAACCTCTATAATCTGACCACTGTGATACATAGCCATTGTAACCTCTATAATCTGACCGCTGTGTAATACCACTGTGATATTTAGCCATTGTAACCTCTATAATCCGACCACTGTGATGTATAGCCATTGTTACCTCTAATAATCTGACTACTGTGATATATAGCCATTGTAACCTCTATAATCTAACCACTGTGATATATAGTCATTGTAACCTCTATAATCTGACCACTGTGATACATAGCCATTGTAACCTCTATAATCTGACCACTGTGATGTATAGCCATTGTAACCTCTGTAATCAAACCACTGTGATGGTTGCACACAAATTAAATGTCTTCATGTTAACTTTAATAAATATATTGGATTAAGTAAAGTATATTAAGGAGCACATACCTCAGCACTGTAAAACCGCACCGGAATGCCGAAAGCTCGGGCAAGGCCAAAGTCTGCTAATTTAAGCTCCCCATTCTAGGAAAAGGGTTCAAATATTTTCTAAGTACAGTATAATTAAAATAAATAGTGATTATTCATATTACACTTTCTACATTACATTATCAGCTACCAGGTATTTTCAAGGCTTGAAATAAACCAGCAGAACAAACGGAATTAAGAACCCTTCAGAGGTTTTTTTATGAAACTTTCAAATATTTCTTGTGTTGCGTAAAATTCAAACATTACAAATTTGTTTTAATAACAGAAACATGACAGTTTTATTCCACACAATGAAATAACTCTATGTGCACAATACATACAATCAATCCATATTAGTCGAATTCAAGGTCATAGCAACCAAAAGTAAGTATTGGTATTAACTGGTTTTCAAATCCAGGAGACACCAATAGGAAATGCATTATGATATATGGAAGATCTTGTATGCTACTTCTGACAAAGGTATTGAGGGTCAATCAGTTTAAAATCATAATGATAATCGGTTTGTAATCGGAAGTAGAAAGCCGATCAATGATCGACTGCATAATCGGTTTATAATTGTTTGGGACTGAATACCCAGATAAAGTGAAAGCACTACTATTACATCAATAGACAGAGTTGTTCACTATACTAATACATAAGGTTTCATGCTTTTACGATGGATGGATATCAAGCAACCTTTATGCATTTTTATCAATCATGTAGTATAAATCATAACAATATATGACTTCCAAAGCATACTTTACATGGAAGACATTTAAATACTTTGATTTCAACGATGAACCGATTATAGAATTTGCAATCGATAACCAGAATCAGAAAGGGTGAATCAATCGATTTTCAATCAATTATAATTGATCACTAGACAAAGGCCTATTTACCTTGTTAATAAGGAGATTCTGAGGCTTCAGGTCCCGATGTAAGACATTGTTACTGTGACAGAACGCCAGGCCTCGTAATAACTGGTACAAGAAGGACTGCAGGGCAAATACACAACTGTTACATTTCAATATCAACTTATAATAAATGAAATAAGTTCCAATCACAACATGCTCAAAGAGTCAAGATGATGTATATATACTTTTTATTAGTTGACTAGCTTTGTATAATTTCACCTCTAAAGTAGATGATCATGACTCATCAGGAAAATGTTAATAATACATTAGGCATATAAAGTACTCTAAATAGAACTCTCTTTTCTATTGTGATGTAATGGGCGAACAGCTTAGGCTGAGGGGAAATAGATAATGATTAACAATAGTTCAAGTTCAAAGTATTTTGTTTTCGTGTCAAACACATAATATTCATAAAAATTACACTACATATCAAAATTTTAGTATAAAATGTGTCCAGTCAAAATGACTTATTAGACACATTAAGAGAATAATCACACTGTTTATGAAATATTAAAAAACAATCACAATTCAATTTTACTCAGTTCGGACATGTAATGTCATTTAACCAGTATTTATAAAAGACTGAAAACAATTATATATGCTCATGAAAAAAGTGCATTTTACTTGCCAGTAGCTGGACTATATGTATATTTACATGTTATCACCGTGTACACCCTACATGGTGAGAGATATACAAGAGTGGTTGGGCCAGTCCCTACTGAAAAATTATATATATCCCCCACCCCGTACCTGCACATTTAATAAACATAAATTTTATGTGAGAAACATGGTTCTCCTCCTCAACATAAGGGAAAGTTGGGTAGATAATATTTTTTGAATATCTGGTTCATACATCACATATCTGAACTGCTCAAATTTGTTCATATTATTGAAAAAAATGTTAACATTATTTGCTTTAAATAAAATTACAGATCAAAGATCTGCAAAAAATTAACATTCAGTTCTGTTTCTTTGGCATAATAGGTGCTACACATAGTCAATCTCACATGTAAAATCACCTGTAAATAGATAATTGATGATCTCTCACCTGTACAGTGTCCTGATCAATTTCTCCATTACAACTGTCAAAGTACTTTTTCAGGTCCTGGTCACAGTATTCAAACACTAAGGTGAGCTTCTTTTCACTGTGTAGTACATCATGTAGTCTGTAAAAACAATAAATCATAGTATTCTTCTAAATCCTCATGATCACATCATACTACGTGTATCTCTAAATATCTCTAAATCTTCAGTAGGATTTAGAGTTAACAATTCAATCATTTTATCTCTAAATCCTCATGATCACATCATACTATGTGTATCTCTAAATATGTCTTAATCTTCATTAGGATTTAGAGTTAACAATTCAATCATTTTATCTCTAAATCCTCATGATCACGTCCATCTCTGCTAGCCAAGGGTTACGATCCAGTACAATCCGGTTTCTTAGGTAGACCAGATTGTACTGCCTTGTAACCCTTGGCTAGCCAAGATGGATCACATTATACTACATGTACAATGTATCTCTAAATAAATCTTCATGAGGATTTAGAGATAAAAATCTGATCATTTTATCAATAGATCCTCATGCACAAGTGGCTGTATATAATTGGACTCATTCGAATTCACCCCTGAAATATGATAATGAACTATTCCTACCTTTGAATTGAAAGAGTTCAAATGTGTCTTCAGGGGTGAATGAGTTAAATGTTCTGCCCTTATCATTGACTTCTGTTATTATTGAATTGTACTCTATACAAGGAAATGTTCATCCTTAGACAATAAAATTCAGTTTTGCCCAATAATAAATTCACCCTTCTCATTGAGATTCTTTACAAATTATGTTTTTAGCTTATGTTTTCTGTAATGATAAAGTCGCCCTCATTACGGATGGTAAAAAAGGCGAATATTAAACTGCAGCGAAAATTTCCCAGTAAACTGTAATTAATTCTTTTTGGATATTCATATTACTTGGCTCTAGCTTTTGTCCAGTACCAATATTATTCATGTACACATCAGACATACATGTACACCACCAGAAATGACATTAAGTATTATAAGATATTGCTACATGAAATATGTCTACCAATTGTCCGCAGACATATACATGTATACAATATGTGTAATTTATCGCTAGATATTAAGTTGTATCCCCTGTCACCCACCTAACAATATTTTTGTGTTTCAGCTCCTTTAGAAGACAGATTTCTCTCAGCGCTGAACTTGGTACCCCCTACAACACAATAGAGTAAATTAAATCATGATAACTTGTTATATTGTTCTTATTAATGTAAAATCATAATTAACATAGATACAAACAGTAGTTTTAATGTATACCGTACATGTGTATATATATGTACAGTGATATGTACAATTAATTCATGAAATAATCTGTTATATTACCTCATCATCATCATCCAGACGAACTCTCTTGAGGGCTACAACTTCATGTGTTTCTCTATTTTTGGCTTTGAACACTGTTCCATAGGTTCCTAATGAAAACATTGAAATGTATTTTATATGTAAAAATGAATACAAAAATAGTGTAATAGTGTACTAGCTAGGAAGTAGCAAAAAAGATTATGTGCACTCGCTGGGGATCAAACCTGTGATTGCAAACTTTTTAGCTTGATCCCTCTTTCTAAAGCTATAATAAGTAAGGCAACTATATAAAGCCCAGTCTGGCTGTTACATTTCTCCTTTTTCATATTACAAATTTAGCGCTCAACAAAATACACCCACAGAAGGTGGTGTATAGCTATAGATGGAGTCTCGTGTGTCTTCAGGGTCAAAGGCTTTAATTTGTTGAGGGAGGAATGTACTAGCGGAACTGGACTTTGTTGATCAGCAACATGAAACCAGCTAGGTTGCTTAATTGGTCAGAGCGTCTGTAAAGAGGTTGGAGGGTCTCGATCATGTTCGAATACCAGTCTTGCGCCCTTGCATTTCTTTTTGGACGGTCTCATGTTCGAATACCAGTATTGCCCTTGCATTTCTCTTTCTCCTGATCATTTAATTATGAACCTGCGATTTAAACCATTCTCACATTTCACGATTTGCTATATATATACACTGAACATACAATGTATGCATGTGGAAAATTTCATTACCTGATAATGGAAAAGGTATGCATGTGGCTGTTGATGTAAAAATTAATTACATGTAGCTGATCAGACCATGATCAAGACAAGGTAATACCTGAAAACCTCGGAATTTAAAGGTAGATTCATGATCATCTATATATAATTTCACAAAAATAAACACTGCCAAAGGAACATGCATATTTTCTTTTGAGATAGATCTAGATAGTTTATAAAGAAAAACAAAACTGCACTGGTTTTTCGTGACCATCGTTGCAAATCATTTAGGTGTACTAGGCCGAAAATGTAAACAACAGCTTCTTATCAATCTTTTATATACAGATCTAGACCGTACAGAAATTCAGTTGAGAGTACGCATCGAAACACAACTGTTTTCTCAAGATGTTTCGAGCTAACATGTATTTAACACAATCACCGATGTGAATAGCTAGTTATGATCATTTGGTTTACCAATATGGTCTACTTACCTTCTCCAATTTTCTCTAATTTCTCATATTTTTGCATGTTATTGAAATATTGTGTTCTAGAGCAAGAGGCAAAAATCTATAACATTCAGTGTCTTTTAAACGCTTTTTTTACATACGTGTGATTTCAAAACATTTCTACGTCCGAGATGCATATTATAAATTTAGAGCCTAAACGGAAGAAGACACTCCGTAACAGGATACAGTACATGTATATATATATCTACAATGGAAGCTTTTAAACGTCTCTCTTCAGTGGTAACAATTGTTAATATTCTTGTTTTGATTAATTTAGTTTATGTGCTCTGTAATAACGAATATGTCTTAACGTTGCTGGAACTAACGTAGATTTGTATTGCACAGTGGCGGATCCAGAGACCTATCTGGGGGGGTTCCAAATTTCCTGGGGGGTTTCCATGTTGGAAAAATTGAGGAAAATGGTAAAATATATGATTTTTAAAGAAAATTCTCAGGGTGGGGGGGTTTCCTGAAGCCCAAAAAACCCCTCTGGATCCGCCACTGTTGCAATTAATCATTTAATGATTTCAGGTTTGTTATATCTACAAGTCCAGTACACTCTGCCGATGGACTGGAGCTGTCAAGACCCACATGTACATTTGTATAATCATAGGTGTTTGAAATTCTGACTGTAAATTGAGATAAAAATCAATTAAAAAAAATAATGGAATTACTATATAAAAAAGAATAGTAATACCCTTATTTTTTATATGATTTTTATCTCAATTTACAGTCAGAATTTCAAACACCTATATATGGTATAATCAGTTATAATAGCTCTTTCAGATACTTTAGATAATATTATAAATATCATATAGTGAATGAATATTGACACGAGTCTGTATAGAGAGTGTAAGTAGTTATTTATATGAATGTATGATTGAGTGTATGAATTGAATACAATAATATAAATAGCTTATTAATTACATGTATATATATAATCGATATCATATATACATGTATAACTATAATATATATAATATCATACATGTTATGATGATGTACTTACACCATCATGGAGAAGATTGATATAGGCCTAGCCTGTTATCTTATCCATTTATATATATTTATTTATATATATAATAAAATTTGTTAAAACGAAACCAGGAAAATAATAGCTCTCTGAAAAAGGTCTTTTGAGCAATTTTCATGTGTTTTTCATTTTTTAAGGAAAATGAAACAAAATCATTTTTAAAAGAAGATTTTATCATTAGGTTGATAACAAAAAACTTCAAATATAAGTCTAACCACAGTATTAGAGTATCTAAGTCTGTGGTCTAACAGTAACAGTTACAGTTCAGTATTCTTTTTAAAAAATAATGATGTAAAAAAATCAGAAATTTTACATTTATGAAAAATGAAAATAAACATCTAAATGTATGCTTTTTGTAGTCAACATTACCATAAACCTTATTGTTTTATGCGACTTTGCTTTAATTTAATGAAAATTGAAATCTTAGAAAATATAGCTTGAAACAGCTATAATTTTCAGGTGAAAATAGCTATATAGGTCTTTATAGCATAGCTCAACCGACAGAGTGTACTGGACCTGATCTAACCCTTTATACGAGTTCTTCAAGAAGTAAACAAAACATAGATAATCCATTCCAAAAATTGTCTGGTGTTCACACTATAACCTAGTCCAGTTCTGCTACATTTTTCGGCATCCTTTTTTTGATTGTATATAGGCTTTGCCCCCGAAGACGATCAAAGTATACTAATATATTTACAACCAGGTTCGAGTTTGTCACAGGCACCACTAGTGTAACAGGAAGCAGAGATATGCATCATGGGCAGACCTGGATTTAAAACCTGGGATCTCCAAACGCTATACAGGTCGACACTCTAACCGACTGAACTAACCAGTCACCAGCAATCACCCAGGTCAGGCTTACCCTGTTTACTATAGTACTGTGGCAGAATGTAATTGTACACTTGTACATGTGGGATTATGGACGCCTTCTAGTTCTGTGCTAGAGGGAATCGCCCTGTATACTGTATTTATATATATATATCACAAATTCATGTTTTAGAAGTTTCCAGGAATCTTCTAAGTGGAATATCAATTTAAATAATGTTTTGATAAAATCTCTATGCCTTTTCTACCAAATTTTCAAAATAATATTCGGTCAAAACAAGAATAATTTGGACTTACTAAACCACTTTTTTCAGATGGCAGATGAGATTTTGATGGTAGAACCATTTTATGGAGGCTCTCATCGGCAGCTGATTGACCTTCTGCATTCACACTTCACAGAATCTGTCAAAGTAACCATGACCGCAAAGAAATGGCACTGGAGGGCTCGTACATCCGCTCTTCATCTCAGTCAGGAGATACCGTACTCCAGTAACTATAGGTAAAGATATCTCAGTCAGGAGATACCGTACTGCAGTAACTATAGGTAAAGATATCTCAGTCAGGAGATACCGTACTCCAGTAACTATCGGTAAAGATATCTCAGTCAGGAGATACCGTACTCAAGCAACTATAGGTAAAGATATCTCAGTCAGAAGATACCGTACTCCAGTAACTATAGGTAAAGGTATCTCAGTCAGGAGATACTGTACTCCAGCAACTCAGGAGATACTGTACTCCAGTAACTACAGGTAAAGATATCTCAGTCAGGAGATACCGTACCCCAGTAACTATAGGTAAAGATATCTCAGTCAGAAGATACCGTACTCCAGTAACTATAGGTAAAAATATCTCAGTCAGGAGATACTGTACTCCAGTAACTATAGGTAAAGACATCTCAGTCAGGAGATACTGTACTCTTAGATAGGGGTGACTATTGCGGCCAATTTCACAATTGCAATATTATTGGTTAGATAACATTAAGCCGTAGTATGTTAACTATGTTTTAAATCACGAATTTCAAATGTAAATTAATGCTATCTAGGGTTTCTCTAAAACAACTTACTGCCTGGTTTATATGTTTCTATTTGTCAGTTGTCATTGTGTTTATAATTGATAAATACAGATCTAAAAATAATAAAAATCCACAAATGATTGAAACTTAAACTCGCTCTTTAGTTTTTATTTGTCCATCTTAGAATCAAGAGAATGAAACTTCTATAGAGCTTTGTCGCCTCTAGTTCAGTACTAGTATTGTTCATTGTTCAACATACAGTTTCCAGTTCTTCTTTAGAAAGATTAGCTTGTCCACATAGTCAGGTCTCAATGCGGACCTCTGAGCAGTTACAATGTCGCCCGCCGTGGAAAGATTGTCTGAATTCAGAGAGGGACCTCCCCTAAATCAGTGTAGCGACAAGCGATGCGGAACAAATGTAGTGATGACTCGGACATTTTCGGGGGAATTCCCAGACCGGAATATTTACATGTTTAAGGTTCCGAAAAGAGGATTTTAATAACTATTGAAACAATCGATATCTGACGGAACAATCGGCAATAAATATTGAATTTTAATATCCAATCGATGCATTGATATTGGGAAGGATTTATTGCAATCTATCGATATTTCGATGCATTGTTACACTCCTAGTACTCTAGTAACTATAGGTAAAGACATCTCAGTCAGGAGATACCGTACTCCAGTAACTATAGGTAAAGACATCTCAGTCAGGAGATACTGTACTCCAGTAACTATAGGAAAAGATATCTCAGTCAGGAGATACCATACTCCAGTAACTATAGGTAAAGACATCTCAGTCAGGAGATACCATACTCTAGTAACTATAGGTAAAGACATCTCAGTCAGGAGATACTGTACTCCAGTAACTATAGGTAAAGATATCTCAGTCAGGAGATACCGTGATCCAGTAACTATAGGTAAAGATATCTCAGTCAGAAGATACCGTACTCCAGTAACTATAGGTAAAGACATCTCCGTCAGGAGATACCATACTCTAGCAACTATAGGTAAAGACATCTCCGTCAGGAGATACCATACTCTAGCAACTATAGGTAAAGACATCTCAGTCAGGAGATACTGTACTCCAGCAACTATAGGTAAAGATATCTCAGTCAGGAGATACCGTACTCCAGTAACTAAAGGTTAAGATATCTCAGTCAGGAGATACCGTACTCTAGTAACTATAGGTAAAGATATATCACTCAGGAGATACCGTACTCTAGTAACTATAAGTAAAGATGTCTCAGTCAGGAGATACCATACTCCAGTAACTAAAGGTTAAGATATCTCTGTCAGGAGATACCGTACTCCAGTAACTATAGGTTAAGATATCTCAGTCAGGAGATACCGTACTCCAGTAACTATAGGTAAAGATATCTCAGTGAGGAGATACCATACTCCAGTAACTATAGGTAACGATATCTCAGTCAGGAGATACTGTACTCCAGTAACTATAGGTAAAGATATCTCAGTCAGGAGATACTGTACTCCAGTACCTATAGGTAAAGATATCTCAGTCAGGAGATACCGTACTCCAGCAACTATAGGTAAAGATATCTCAGTCAGCAGATTCCGTACTCCAGTAACTATAGGAAAAGATATCTCAGTCAGGAGATACTGTACTCCAGCAACTATAGGTAAAGATATCTCAGTCAGGAGATACCCTACTCCAGTAACTATAGGTATAAAGATAAAGCTCAGTCAGGAGATAATGTACTCCAGTAACTATAGGTAAAGATATCTCAGTCAGGAGATACTGTACTCCAGTAACTAAAGGTAAAGATATGTCAGTCAGGAGATACCATACTCAAGCAACTATAGGTAAATATATCTCAGTCAGGAGATACCGTACTCCTGTAACTATAGGTAAAGATATCTCTGTCAGGAGATACCGTACTCCAGCAACTATAGGTAAAGATATCTCAGTCAGGAGATACCGTACTCAAGTAACGATAGGTAAAGATATCTCAGTCAGGAGATACTGTACTCCAGTAACTAAAGGTAAAGATATGTCAGTCAGGAGATACCATACTCAAGCAACTATTGGTAAAGATATCTCAGTCAGGAGATACCGTACTCTAGTAACTATAAGTAAATATATCTCAGTCAGGAGATACCATACTCCAGTAACTATAGGTAAAGATATCTCAGTCAGAAGATACCGTACTCCAGTAACTATAGGTAAAGATATCTCAGACAGGAGATACCGTACTCTAGTAACTATAGGTAAAGATATATCAGTCAGGAGATACCGTACTCTAGTAACTATAGGTAAAGATATATCAGTCAGGAGATACCGTACTCTAGTAACTATAAGTAAATATATCTCAGTCAGGAGATACCATACTCCAGTAACTATAGGTAAAGATATCTCAGTCAGGAGATACCGTAAACATGTATTAACTTTTAACATTAATGTGTTTTGGTAATCACTTAAAATCCTGTAATTCATTTACATGTAGCTCACAGTTTAATTACAAAATTATCGGTCATTGTACGTGTGTATATAACTCCCAAATAGTCTGGTGAAGTTTAATACCCATACTGAAGTTTCCACCTGTACAAGATATATCTATATACATAATAGACTTTCCTGTCACATTTCTAGTCAAACGTTGATTATTCAATATATGTTTACTTTGTCACATCTCTAACACGTGATAATTATTATATTTCTAGGGTATTATTTGCAAGTAGTGTATTAAACTTGGCTGAGTTGGTAGCCCTGCGTCCAGATCTGTCTGGTCTGAGAAAAATTCTTTACTTCCATGAAAATCAGCTTGTCTACCCTGTCCAGAAAAAGATGCAGCGAGACTTTCAGTACCCCTATAATCAAATACTATCCTGGTGAGTATGTTATATAGCTATAAGTCCATTGCTTTATGTCAAAAGTTGTATGTTAATGATTAGATAGTGAAACCTTTTTACCTTCTTTTTATTTTAGAAAGGACTATGTATGGTTTGGGCCTGTTTTGGCTGCCAAATGCATCAAGATTCAAAACCTTAAAATGAACTTTGAAATGACTGTTTCTTTAATTTCGAATACTTCCCAAATACTATCATGAAAATATTTGTTTATATTTCTAATTATTGTTGCCATGGTAACAAGTTCAAATTTGCATAAATTAGAAAAAATTGAATACTCAGTGATATTTTGGATAATTTTTCTCCTAGAAACTATAGAGCGCATGCTTGAACAAACTTAATATCAATGGATAATGTGTAGGCACCTGTAATACATGTTTAGGAGAAATATAAAGTTTGTTCAAGAGTGCGCTCTATGGTAGCTAAGAGAAAAACTAGGTGAAGACCTGTCAAAATTGACTGAATAATCAAATTTCAATAATTTATGCAAATATGACCTGGGTACCATGGCAGCCAAAATTGAAAACACAAATAAATGTTTACATAATAGTACTGGGGAAATATTCAAAATTAGATAAACAGTCGTTTGAAAGTTCTATTGCAGATTTTTAATTTTGATGAATTTGGAGGCCGAAAAAGGCCCAAACCATACATAGTCCTTTATATTAGCTAGATATTTCTTAATAGTTATGCTGAGCAGTTGTCCTCATATAAATCATGGTTATGATGTGTAAAATAAATTCAAATGGGTTCTGTGTAAATGATTAAAGAGAATTTGTTTCTTTTGTAAACGAGGAAAAGAAATATGGTGTTTTAATTCAAACTCTTCCACCTGTATTTGTTTTATTTATTTCAGCTTAGTTGCTGATAAAGTTGTTTTTAACTCCCAGTTCAATATGGACAGTTTTTTATCATCCATAAATAAAACACTAAAAACAATTCCAGATTATCGACCAAAAGGTCTTCCGGAGAAGATTCGACCCAAGTGTCAGGTTTTATACTTTCCCTTAGACCTACCTCCAAGAGAAAAGTTTATTCACACTCATCAGAACAAACCAACTTTTACATCTATTGATGAGAGCAGAAAGGAAGAAGAGGAGAATTCATCATGTAATCCTGATGTAAAAACTAGGACTTGTTTAGGAGATAAGTTTGAGGATTGTGGCTCAAAGGACGTCAAGTGTGATATGCCTGTGCATTCTATTGAGGATGGAAATCCTTCTGATGAGAGGTCATGTCCACCAGATGCCAAGCGGCGGAAGACAGGACCTCTCCATATTGTTTGGGCACATAGATGGTAATGATGTTCAGTAGTGTAGCCAGATGTTATCAGACCCCACCCACTTCTATCATCAACACATTAAAATGATAAAATATTTTATATGGATGCTGATCTGGGACCTCAACACTGATACATGTATCATGATAGTGTCAAATTTTGTTAAGTACTTTTTTTTTTTTTTTCTCACTCTGCTTATTTTCCCACCATTATACACACGTGAGGTTCCTGTGTTCATTATTTCTGAATCATTATTACCCTAACTGCTTTTCAGGGAATCAGTCAATCATCTTCAATTCAAACCCAAATGATTTGCTATTGTGAGATGCTATATTGACAAATGTTTTCTCCTCTCTCTGTTTCTATATGTGAGACACAATGTGATGCATCTGTTTCCTCTATTGGTATTGATCATGTAAGATGCAGTATTATGCATTTATCCTCTATTAGTTTTTATGTGAGAAATCTTTCTCCTCAGTCCTCTATTGGTCTCTATGGGTTGGTGGTAAATGTTAAATCGCCATGAAATCAGCTGAATGACATCTCATTGAGGCATATATGTTATGTTACTTTTGATGAAGACAACATACTGTGAAATCAGATATTTTCGTAGGGCCAAAAGGACTTTGGGCGTTACGGGTCATTAAATTTTAGCCTCATAAAAAGTTTAAAAAATCAACTTGAATTTATTTCCCAATTTCTATCATAAACCTCATATTGGTTAATTGGGCTACCTTTTTTGGTGCAGATTTTTCTAATGTGCATGCATAGAGATGCCCTGCCATAGCAACAAAATTGTGTTGCTATGCAGAAATAGCCAAAATATGGTGAAATTTGACAGTTAACATGTAGAAATAAAAGCCTCCACATGGGACAAACAAAAAATCCTTTTCTAAGAATGAACACTGGTATGACAATGTTGAAGCATGTCAAGTATTTATTTGTTTGTTGCATACACAGGCTTTCAAACATTGAAGAGTGTTTAGTTGATTTCCTTCAAAATGGCCAATTTTCAACCAAATAGTGCACAACAGACAATATTCGCACATTTTATAATGAAAATGTGGGTTAATGTCTCTCTTTGTAATGCCATATCTCCTAAACCATTTGTCGAATGAAGTTGAAATTTCATATTTGCATACTTCATTAATATTCCAGATTACAAATTAAATATAACAACTAATTATAAATCCCTGATGAAGCCAGAAATTACCTTTATCGCCCCTAGTCTTTTCATGGTTTCCTAAAAGCTACCATTTTGGGGACCTATGAATTCGTGGATCAAGGTTATCCACAAAATCTATGAAACTAAAAAAACACACGAAAATTAGTGATTTCACAGTACATGATTATGTAATCACTAATTTTTTGTTTTTATTTTGTAATCTTAAAGATAACTTTAAAGATAAAGATACTCCATAGTATTTGTCTAGAAATTGTAGTGGTGAGATTTTAAGAACAATTCAAACACTACCAAAACTTGTACCTTGGTCCTATATGTTGTAATTCACTAGCAGTCAAAAAGGACATAATTGTATTAAAGTCAAAAGAAATTCAGTCTTTCCATAGGTTTGTGTAGATATGATCATTAACTTATATTAACTGCATTCTGATACTGTGTTTCTAGGGAGCATGACAAGGACCCAGAGACATTCTTCAATGCGCTGTTCCAGCTGCAGGAAGCAGGACTAAATTTCAGGGTTTCTGTGATGGGAGAACAGTTTACTGACAATCCAGGTGGGAAAACTCACTACTGCTATGTGTTTCAATTACATATACAGTCAAACCTATTTTCAAAGATCACCTTCAGGGCGTCCATAAAGTGGCCTCTTATGACAGGTGGTCTCTTAATACAGATTCAGTTAACATGTGTTTCACTTTAATGGGTATTTTTAAGAGTGGTATCTTAACACAGGTGATTTCCTATACAGATTCAGTTAACATGTGTTTCACTTTAATGGGTATTTTTAAGAGTGGTATATCTTAACACCGGTGATTTAACTATACAGATTGAGTTAACATGTGTTTCACAGGGGATTTCCTATACAGATTCAGTAAACATGTGTTTCACTATAACGGGGAATTTTAAGAGTGGTATATCTTAACACAGGTGATTTAACTATACAGATTCAGTTAACATGTGTTTCACAGGTGATTTCCTATACAGATTCAGTAAACATGTGTTTCACTATAACGGGTATTTTTAAGAGTGGTATATCTTAACACAGGTGATTTCCTATACAGATTCAGTTAACATGTGTTTCACTGTAATGAGCTGATGACAACTACAGGACGATCTAGGCCTCTTTGATCACATACGATCACAGGGCACTTCCAGGTCGATTGAGGCCTGTTTGATCACATATGATCATAGGGCACTTCCAGGTCGATCTAGGCCTGTTTGATCACATACGATCATAGGGCACTTCCAGGACGATCCAGGCCTATTTGATCACATACAATCATAGGGCACTTCCAGGTTGATCTAGGTCTCTTTGATCACATACGATCATAGTGCACTTCCAGGACGATCTAGGCCTATTTGATCACATACGATCATAGGGCACTTCCAGGACGATCTAGGCCTCTTTGATCACACACGATCATAGGGCACTTCCAGGATGATCTAGGCCTGTTTGATCACATACGATCATAGGGCACTTCCAGGACGATCTAGGCCTGTTTGATCACATACGATCATAGGGCACTTCCAGGTCGATCTAGGCCTAGTTGATCACATACGATCATAGGGCACTTCCAGGACGAGCCTGTTTGATCACATACGATCATAGGGCACTTCCAGAATTCAGCAAGTGTTTAAGCTACATATTTTTATGAAATCAACAAATAATAGACGATTATCTCACTTTTCGTAAAGAAAAAGCAGTGTCAGTTACAAATATATCTTTATTAAACACTCCTCTTTGTAAAACCATACCACTTGGACATTTAAATAGGGTCACCTTCGGGTTTTGACAGCTTAAAAAACATCAGAAAAACAGGTTTTCTGTTTATGTCATGTTCGGGTTAATAAATAGTTTTGTTTAAACCTACATCATAAAAGGATTAACTAAATATACATGACAACATAAATAATTTCCATGATTTTATTTATGAATGAATGCCTTTGTTCTGTGCCTGAACTACATCAATGTAATACTAAATAGGAACGTCAATAAACTATATGAATGATGTGCATACGTAGTAAGTCGTAGTTATTAGGGCCCCTTATCGGAGATACGGGTGCCCTTTAGTAATCACTCTGTCTGTCTGTCTGTCTGTCTGTCTGTCTGTCTGTCCGTCCACAAATTTTGTTCCTGGCTGATAACTTTGGTATTTATTGACCGATGTACATGAAACTTGATCAAGATGTTCAGTTCACAAACATACACATTGAGGTAAAAAGTCAAGATCAAAGGTCAAGGTCATTAGGTTCAAAGGTCAAGGTCAAATTTTACATCTTTTCACTGATGAACATTTTGTTATGACATTATGAAGCAAAGTTGATCAGAATTAAACAAGGAGTCAACTGACAAAAGGTCAAGGTCATTGGGCCAGGGGTCAAGGTCAAATTTTGTATCTTTTCACTGGTAAACCAATTCGCTATGACATTATGGAGCTAAGTTGTTGGGAATTAAACAGAAAACATACTGAGGTAAAAAGTCGATGTCAAAGGTCAAGGTCATTAGATTCAAAGGTCGAGGTCAAATTTTGCATTCACTGATGAATATTTTGTTATGACATGATGAAGCAAAATTGATCAGAATTAAACAAGGAGTCAACTGACCAAAGGTCAAGGTCATTGGGTCAAAGGTCAAGGTTTAATTTTGTATCTTTGCACTGGTGAACATTTCGCTATGACACTTTGGAGCAATGTAGCTCAGAATTAAACAAGGAGTCAATTGACCAAAGGTCAAGGTCACTGTGTCAAAGGTGAAGGTTAAATTTTGTACCTTTTCCCTGATGAACATTTTATTATGACACTATGAAGCAATGTTGTTCAGAACTTAATACTGAGTCAACTGACCTTAGGTCCAGGTTACGGGGTCCAAAGGGTCAAGGTCAAGTTTTGTATTTTTCACTAATGAACATTTTGTTATGATATTAAGAAGCAAAGTTGGTCAGAATTAAAGAATAAGTCAACTGACCAAAGATCAGGGTCACTGGGTTAATGGTCAAGGTCATTTGGGTCCAAAGGTCAAAGACAAAGTGGATCTCTGACTTTGACCCTGGCTCATGATGGAGGAGGTATAAAAGGTGAAATAAAACAAATCAAAGCTAACAAATGAGTATTGCTCCGGTATTTACATTTCTGTTCGCCCAGCAAATATAGAGGTGGAAGGAAACAAGACTCACATCATAGTACATGAAAAATGTATATTTTGCTTCCTTGTGATTCTTTTTGAAGTCCAAATATCAAACGTCAAGCTCAGCTTTATGGGCAGATTGCTTCTTGATGATTATGGGGGTTATATTGCCTAAAGACGGGGCCCTTACTGACCTGTCAGTGTTCTAGTTCCCCCTGACTACACTTCTGACAAATGAGAAATGATTTGAAGCGAAATTTACTGTATAAACTTTGATACAAATTCAATGGGAATTATGTAGTATATTGGTAAAAGAAACACCTAGCTTAAGATGGTTAACATGTGACTGTTATAATTTACATGTAAATGTGATTTTAATTTTTGTTTTTAGAGATATTTTCTGTCGCTAAGGAACGCCTGGCATCACACATTGTAGCTTGGGGATACCAGGAGAAGAAGGAAGATTTTTACAGAATATTGTCAGAGGCTGATGTGGCAGTGTCAACAGCTTTGCACGAGTTCTATGGTGTTTCTATGTAAGATCCATTGTCTTCGTTTTCTGAGTCCTAACATTATATATATTGACAGAATCTGCTTTTGTCTCGCTGCCACTAAGTAGCGGAAGCGTGACTAAGATGTTGCTTTTCTGGCGACGGCAACGTCAACATAAAGTTTTTGCATTTAAGTTAGTTTCACTGAAAGTATAAGTGCCAGACCAACCTAACTCAGATCATAGATGCATCTAATTAGGTACTACATCTCAACCCATGCATCAAATGCTGGATGCAGCATAACTTTCATGGTCCATTGACTTTGTCAGCATCTCCATCAACATTAAGTTTTCGCATTTAAGTTAATTTCTCTGAAATTGCAAGTGCTAGACCAACCAAACTTGACATCTGCATTGATGGTCAAAGCAGTGCACAGGCGAGAAAAATCAATCTGAATGGCATGTTTGAGGACCATTTCTACACACAGGCGAGACAAATCAATCTGAATGGCTTTTTTGAGGACCATTTCTTCACACAGGCGAGACAAATCAATATGCATGGCTTGTTTGAGGACCATTACTACACACAGGCGTGACAAATCAATATGAAAGGCTTGTTTGAGGACCATTTCTTCACACAGGCGAGACAAATCAATATTAATGGCTTGTTTTAGGACCATTTCTACACACAGGTGAGACAAATCAATCTGAATGGCTTGTTTGGGGACCATTTCTACACACAGGGGAGGAAAATCAATCTGAATGGCTTTTTTGGGGACCATTTCTACACACAGGCGCGACAAATCAATCTGAATGGCTTGTTTGGGGACCATTTCTACACACAGGCAAGACAAATGAATCTGAATGGCTTGTTTGAGGACCATTTCTACACACAGGCGTGACAAATCAATATGAATGGCTTGTTTGAGGACCATTTCTACACACAGGCGAGACAAATCAATATGAATGGCTTGTTTGAGGACCATTTCTACACTACATTACACATGTAATTGACAAAATCTCTGTTTTTTTGGACCAGTATATTGTTCAGAATGTATTGACAGAATTCATATCTTGAGGACCAGTATTATACAATAGATATTGACAAAATCACTGAAAAAATCCATTTTACTACTGTTTTATTCTGATGACTAATAAAATAGAAAAAAAAATAGCAAATAGACCAATACTTATTTTACTATTCATATCGCTATTTATATCAGGTTACCATGAAATGATAATCTGAATTATTTTAAAACATGTTTTGAAAATATTGTTGTCGTAAAAGTAGGCCTAGGGATTCATTGCAATCAAATTTATTTTGAAACAATAATAATCCTCAAATTTCAAAATAATATAAACTTCATAAAGAATATACATGTACTTACTGGAGGGATGCTTGCTCATTTCGAAAATACAAAAATGTTCATGTACATGTATTTAGTATTTATAAACTGTGTATGTTCATAGTTATATAAGAAGACTTTTAGCCAAACTAAGTGTTCTATATGTATCACTAATAAATAACAAAAGAAGACAATCTTCTCCTGAATCCAGGCTACCATATCTATATTCACGTGAGCAGTGCTAACTAGGCCCCTTTCGGGTATCCGGTTCAACCAGTTGAAACGGTTGAACCTGTATAGAAAACGACTGTAGATTGAGGGGTCAAGACGTGCCTGACTGAAACTAAAATGCTGACTATTGCTAGTTTGCGTTATTACTTTCTAAAACATTGGCAAGCCAGATGTAGTTTTTAAGATACGTTATGTAATTCAGTGGAAAGAAGGGCATAATATTCTTAATACATAGTTACTTATTCTTCGAAACTTTGCATTTTTAGCTCTGCTTATAGAACGGTCCAAGTACGTTAGTTTATCGTGGAATATCTCTGCGTCACCTGTACCGTTTCAACCGGGATATGTGAATGTAACCCTGTTTTCTTCTGCCGTTCTTAAATGACCATAGCTGTTGATAGGACGTTAAACAATACTAAACCAAACCAAACCAATCCAATCTTCTGCCTGCTAGGCACACCATCATCAGAGCACAGTAATTTGATGATTGCCATGGTTATTTAACCTGTCCATCATTTACCATCACCATGCAGCAATCACCAGATATGTTATCTGATCCAACACTAGTCAGCAGAAGTATGAGGAGTTGCTTCTCTCCTTTTCTTATTTACTGTGCTTATATTATCATCAGAGGACTTCTGTGTACCACTAGGTATACTCCTGAAATCTAGAAGATGAATCTACACATTCTTTGACACATATTGGATGTTGGTTCTTTCCCCAGCATCATGAACATGGCACCATTATAATTACCACCTCCCTTATTGGTAGTATTTAGGCCCTGATCCTGGCAATCGTTTGTCTCCTAGTTTGGTGACAGTGGATGGAATGTTTTAGTATTTGCTAAAAGTTGATCGTAGCACAAACAAACATGTGATTGCACCTTTAGAATTTGACATTTGTACTCCTCTGTATATACACTCTGTTAGATTTAGGTAAATATGATATTAAATGGACTCTCATTTTTCAAACAGGCTGGAGGCTGTGTACTTTGGTTGTTATCCACTCTGTCCAAACAGGCTTGTATATCCAGAGATATTCCCTAGTAAGTACAGAACAGGGGCTGGAGGGGTGGGGCCCAAATGGGATTATAGGTAAAAAATCTTCATCAGACTCAGATGTTTCACTGTTCTTGGATAGAAAGGTCCCTACCTAAATTACCATTACCTAAATTGTAAATTTCATTATCCCCCAGGTCATCTGCTCTCCCTTGGGGAGAGGGTGTAATTCTCAATAGCAAAATAATTTATTTGAATAGTTTTTAAAGTTCTTATCCTTTGTTGACATGACAAGTATTGTATTTCACTTTGTTTACATGTTGTTTTCCATATTTTGTACATCTAAACAATGAAATTGAGCTACAAGTACCTATAATATAACTCAGGTGACCGCTAAAGCCCTTGGACCTCTTGTTAACCATGCCACTGCTCAAAAGAGATTACTATGGCAAAACGTATACTTAATTTGTTTTATAATAATTCTATTTAGAGACTTACCTGTTCAACACACCAGCTCAGTTATTGAAGAAATTAAAGAGAATGTGTACAGTACCTGATGAAACAAGGCGTCACTCCATACAGGTAAGTACTACAAAACGGGTTATGTACTGATGAGAACAGCGCCTTTATTTATGAAACTTTTGTCATGCTCCAGCATGGATTCTGTGCTCTAACCAGCTTCAGTGGAACTCTTAGTTAAGCAATATAGTAGCACAGTCAAAAAGTCAAGTATAAACCATGGAAACAATATTTGCCTTTAGTCTCTCCTAATTTCTTCAAAATCATTGACAAAATTTGAATTTTCATTAATTTATCACCAGAACAAGAAATTGGGCTAGAGCACAGAACATGGATCTGAGCATGGTAAATATGTGCCCAGGTGTCATCTCGTCAAGAAAATATTTTGTATTGTAAATAGTAATAATTTAAAAAGAAATAAAAAACGACAGCTGAACTGTTTACACCATGTGTTTCTTGCATTTGTTTTCCTACGACAGATACTATACCCCTATTTTATATATTACAGGTGCCAATGGACAGGTACCTGTGGCAGAACTGTGCTGAAGACTTCTATGCCTTATTTAAAGTGAATCAGAGACAGTAGGAATTAGGACAGACATAAAAAAAGAATCAATGTTGGTGTTGAATGTACAATAGATTAAAAGATAGAATCTATATGTAATGGAAAGTTATTCATTGAGGATTTTTGGGCTCCTGCCCTTCATCTTGATGAAGATCGAGAGTACCTTTCTACAAGTTTTTTAAAGATCTGTTTCTCTTAGGTGACATTTTAAAGTTATTGCTATATAATGGTTTGGTTGAATCCCATATATATTTCAAGAGTATGGAAGAATTTTCTAATATTTTTTACGAGTGTGACGAATGAGTGAAAATTTGTATATTCTACTATAATTATTTTTTCTTTGTTTTCATAACAAATACTCTTATCTGATCGGTGGAATATTAATTTCTTTATTTTATGAAAGAAATAGAAATAAGCCACTCCCACCAGAACTACTTTCGCTGTCGGAAACTTCAAAAGAAAATTATCAAAGAACTCCGGTGCCCTTTGATCTTTGGTAGATTCCGTTGGATTTACAGAAGTTTACATGTCACAATATGTATTGAATAATAACAAATTATGAAACTAAAATTTTAAAATTGGGGAAAAAATACCTGTAACTATTATAACAATAAAAAAAAAAGATGTTTATCAATATTTTGATATTGTTTGCTTTCTAACCAATGAGTTATCAACAATGGCAGACATACCATACTTTGATTTAGGAAAAAACGACGAAATATTGAATTTTGATGGAGTTAATGAGGCTGAACAACAGTTGATGGAAAATGAAGACCCAAACAATGTTTTGGTTAATTATTTGAAATCAATCTGCCTATGTCAACGCCGTCATTGCCGGCACAATCCAAGGCCCAAATGGCAAAAGCCATAGATATGTTTGTTTGTTTGTTTGTTTCTGTTTTACGTCCTATTAACAGCTATGGTCATTTAAGAACGTGCCAGGTTTTTGTGGTGGAGGAAAGCCAGAGTTCCCAGAGAAAAACCACCGACCTAGGGCCAGTACCTGGCGACTGCCCCCACGTAGGCCTCGAACCTGCGACCCAGTGGTGGAGGGCTAGTGGTAGCAGAATGCCATAGATATAAAAAAAAAGAACACAACCTGTAGCCGGGCCCCAACATCTTCGCTAGCCATGTGTTCGCTTCGTATACAGTCACTTAAGGAGCGAAGTGTATACGAAGCGAAGTGTATACGAAGCGAAGTGTATACGAAGCGAAGTGTATACGAAGCGAACACTTGACTAGCCAAGATGGGGCCCCAAATGCTTCAAAAGACTTTCGTACGCTACACGGATTCATAAAGTTTGCAAAAGATATTCTTTTCATACAAAAAAATCAACCTCAATACTTAAATATAAGTGAAATATGTATGGTATTCATCAAGAAAAGCATTAATTGTTTTGTTTGTTGCTGTGACGAAATAATTTCTGCATCAACAAAGTGCGTGATTTAACATCTTAACGTGTGGTGCATTTTCTAGATCTAATGATGTAATTATTGACATCAAGGCTAGGCACTATTTTGAATGGGCTTCTCAATGCATTACTACCGTTTTCTGCAATTATCTTGTACCAATACACTGTAATAATTCGGTGTGTACCAAACGTATACAAAAACATTCACTTGTGCTAGTGTTGCTTCATCTGTCGCTGAACAGAAAATCTGCAGTTTTGTATGCAGTGAATAGAAAGTACTGTCCTGATTACATAGATAGAAGTATGATAGCATTTTTAGCTTCTAAATCTATCTTTTCTGTCAAGCAAGCATATTACCAGGTACTGTATAGAGATCTTGATTGATGTATGGATTAATTACCTGTGGTAAACAATTGATTTTGTGTTTCCTTTTCTGTTTTATCTTTTTATTAATTTGCTGTTTCCCCTATTGGGCCCCACCCCTGGGGGCCAGACCCAGGGTTTATACAAAATTGGTTCCCCTTTACCCAAGGATTCTCCACACCAAATATGGACCAAATTGTTTCATTCATACAGAAGAAGAAGGATTTTAAAGAATAATTTGCTACATTTCCCCTATTGGGCCCTGCCCCTCAGGCCCCTAGCAGGCCAGACCCACGGTTTATTCAAAATTGGTTCCCCCTTCACCCAAGGATGCTTCAGACCAAATATGGAACAAATCATGTCATTCCTAGAAAAGATGAAGGATTTTAAAGAATTTTCTACATTTCCCCTATTGGGCCCAGCCCCTCAGGCCCCTAGCAGGCCAGACCCACGGTTTATTCAATATTGGTTCCCCCTTCACCCAGGGATGCTTCAGACCAAATATGGAACAAATCATGTCATTCCTAGAAAAGATGAAGGATTTTAAAGAATTTGCTATGTTTCCCCTACTGGGGCCCGCCCCTCAGGCCCAGACCAACGGTTTATGCAAAATTGGTTCCCCTTTACCCATGGATGCTTCAGACCAAATATGGAACAAATCATTTCATTCCTACAAAAGAAGAAGGATTTTAAAGAATTTGCTATATTTCCCTTATTGGGCCCTGCCCCTCAGCCCCCAGGGGGGCCATACCCACCATGTATACAAAATTGAGTCCCCTTGGCCCAAGGATGCTCCAGAATAAATTAGGATAAAATCCCTTAATCCATACGGTAGAAGAAGGATTTTAAAGGTTTTACTTCTGTTTCCCCTATTGGGCCCGGAGCCACACCCACCGTTTATACAAAATTGAGTCCCATTGGTCTAAGGATGCTTCAGACCAAGTTTAGTCAAAATCTACTTGGCCGTTCAGGACTAGTAGCGTTTTAAAGGAAAAGTTGACGGACGGACGACGGATGCTGCGGTATGGCATAAGCTCACCATGGTCCTTTATTTAGACCAGGTGAGCTAAAAATGGCGCGTGCGACGACTTTGCATTATGTTTTGTAATATAGGAATAAATTCACACTATAGAAAAACTTTTTGTCATAAACATTCTAAAGGTCATCATAAACTGTTAAAATGCTAACAAAAAATATTCATTTGAAGCGTAAGATAGTGCAAAATTCAAGCCTTGATCCGATTTGGGTCCTGACATTCGCAACAAGAGGCCAATATGGCCTGTATCGCTCAACTGGATATCTAAGCAATCATGGCAAACTATTCTCCAAATGAGATCCAAGCTACTGGGCCAGACCAAAAGGCCAATTCTTGTAGCATATCTGTATTAATTTTGTTATGGGGTGGGTATCTCAACTGTTTCCAATCAGTTACTCACAAAGTAGGTCCCTAAGGTTGTGGCCAGACCCCATGGCAGGATCAATTATAATATCATGACTGCATTCGTCTCTCTATGCCAAGCATTTGTATAGTTTTGGGTTGGGGATCTCAACCGCTTCAAAGTTATGACCCAGGAGTTAAAACTGCAAGGGTAGGGCAGACCCTCGGGTCAATTCTAATATCATGACTGCATTAGTCTCTTTATCCTCTTATGGGATAAATATTTGCTTGCAGGAAAATAAACTCTTTCATAACTTTACTGCCTGGTTCGATATATCATTTCTGGTCCGGAAAGACGAATGACTTCAGATGTACAGTCATCGATTGAAAGGCAATGGCACTTTCACAGCATACCATGTTTGCATGTGTGTCAGCAAAACAAGTTGCAAAACCGTCAACTGATAACAAGCTGAAACAAACAATGGCCCCTACAATTGGTATTTGGTGCAACTGTAAATCAAGCAACACGTAGTCATCGTTTTATTGACTTTCTACATGCAGGATCTCTTTCTATGGACTACACACGTGTACTTCGACTCGAAAATCAAATAGCAAACTAAGTAATCAGAGAAATCAATCAGTCGAATGGATTTTTGTCCCATCTGACTTTGTAAAACGCAGACACGTCTTCTTCGCTATCAGCAAACACCTGATGGAAAGAGGACTTAACACGGAACAGCTATGGCACTATATCAACGCAAACATGAAAATGATAGTGCACAGGTTTTCAGGATTCATCCAGATGTGGACTCTTACCAGCTCGACAAATTGCCTGCGAAAATGACCGAGGTGATGCCATGTTCAGTACCAGCAAATTCCAAACCAGATTGTCCAGTGTACCCTTTGACAGAACCACTTTTGTCCTTTTTCAAAAAAACACGCTTGATGCAAATACAATCGAACCCGGTACGCTGATCATGAGTCTTCAAATGGCATACAAGTCATGCATAAGCGACGGTATGCCTTTAACTGCTGTGTCTACGCCACCCATTCTGACTGGTCAGTACATGAATGGTTGACATTGTTCACCGTGTTGTTTGGTTTGGTTTGGTATTGTTTAACGTCCTATCAACAGCTACGGTCATTTAAGGACGTCCTCCCCTGTGTGCAAGATACATGCGTGTAGTGTATGCATGTGTGTTTTGGGAGGCTGCGATATGTTCGTGTTCGTCTCCTTGTGGTAGCGTGGACCTGCTCTCAACATCATGTCCAATATGGAGGAATATGACAAACAATCTGCAAGCAACCTCCATGTCTGTAGTAATACGACAGTGTATGGAGATGGTATCGACCATGCTCCAATTCATACGGTCGTTTCATACTGGCAACTTGGAGTTGCATCTTCAAGTATTTCTTTGCCCTGGATTAATCGAACTACGCAAGGACGATTCCATTGTACCTGGCCTAAATGTGAGCAATCAAAGAGGACGATCCTGAACTGGGTAGTGAACAAAACTGAGATACCGTTTTGTGCCATCGGTGCCGACCATGTCCTTGATTACGTTAACAAATGGATGAAGGTATTCAGCGGCAAAGTGGGCATAACGCTTAATAATACAGCTCAATCAAGGTTCTATCTCGTCTCACCACAGCTTTCCCATTAGGTAAACGAAGCAAGTGACACTGGAAACCGGAACAGTTGTATTAAGGCTCTTCATCACCTGGACAACAGACCTTGACTTTCGAGTAAACAAAGAATTTATTACAGAAGGATTGAAGACAGATTGGATGACACTGTCAAGGAAAGGACAACATTTCTGCATGAACAATGCCTGAATGAGCGCTTCAGGACAAAGAAAGTAGGTATATGTGCCGTGTTGAAGAAGAACAAGCTAAGAACGTGGAAAGAAAGTTGCAAAAGAGTGAAAATTACAGCAAATAAAACTGTCGTAGAACTCCGGGAATATCGGTGATTGTTTGATCGAATTTGCATTGCAGCAAGATCCCGGCCAGAAGTAAACGTTCAGGAAGACATGGCTAAATACGAATTGTCTGTAATTCCTCGGAGTCGGGCTTTATTTTCATCAGACGGGAACTTATTGCTCAGTGAAAAGTCAACGAATGAGTATCCTAAAAAACATGACCGTTAATAGTGCGGTTGAAATCACGGACAAAACCTGCGCAGTAGAAAATACTACAGCCTTTGTAGATGGTATGGCGGAGGAACACGCGATGGGGAAACCGCATTAGGTAAAACATTGTTGTGGCTGAGTAGAACACTTCCTACAAGTCATTTCAAGAAAGTACTGTTAAAATACAATGAAGTACATCTTGTATTTGACAGGTATGATGTTCCAAAATCTCTGAAGGACGCCACAGAACAAAGACGTCTTGGAAAAAAGGTAGTCAGTTATTTATCCTATAGCTTACCATACCAGTCTAACCAATGTATCTCTCGTGAAGTTTCTGTCGCATTCTTCGACGAAGGATACATTGTAAACATATCACGAAATAAACGCCCGCGAGTATGCAACAGAAAGAAATCTGCGCCTGTTCTTTGCCTGGAGAGACCAAGCAAGGTCAACCTTTTTCGATGCTGGGTACGTGATCAGTTCACAGGAGGAAGCAGATACAAAACTCGTCCTGCATGCTCTGGATGCAACGCAAAGAGGCACATCAAACCTCTATGTCCACTCACTGGATACAGACGTGATCGTTCTACTTTTACGAAGGTATC